AAAGTGCTAAAATTGACCCAAAAACGTTTCAATTTAGTGATATTTTTTATAGTTAACATATTTTTTTGCCCAGAGATTTAATGTAGAATATTTCTTCGTTTCAGTTAGCAGTAAACGACATAACGAGTAAAAATTATTAAAAAGAAATATTGGGAAATATGAAATATGATGATGTTTTTTGTCTTGTAGTGAAATTTGATAAAGAATAATGATGAAATGAAATGATGCTCTGTCGGGTAATTTTACCTAAACTTTTAACACCAAAAATGCAAAGACCTAAAATGGTAAAGACTAGACAAAATGCATTCTGAGCAAATGGTTTGTGTCTATACTGTCTGAGTAACAGCTTATGGCAGGACCATGTTAATATAAAAAAATATATTTATAGAAAAAAATGACAAACAAAAGTTTGAAAAATCCAAAAATTGGGTTTCAAAATTCTATTCCCTAGACTTTCCAAATTAATTGCATATTGCCTAAGCGGTTTAAATCGCATAACATTTCTAACTATGTTGTTACGATATCATAACAACAGAGGTATTTTCACAGGGTTGCCATATCTTGACTCTGTCTTGTCCCATCTTTATACTTCTATGTCTTTGAAAAATGTGTCTTCAATGTTTATTAATTCCTGGTTTTTTGGTGTTGAATTTTAGACTTTTCGTATTTTCCGAAATATATAGTAGAACTTTATGAAAAAATGAATTTGTAGAGTATGTTGTCTTGCTAGATTCCATTTAAAAGGACTTTTACCCCTATTTTGGAAAAAGGACTAACAATTTGCTTCCATACATACACCTGTTGTATTGCCCCTGTATGAAGACGGGTTAATGGGACTGAACGTTCCTATTGCTATCAATAATATTGTCGAAGGTACTAAAATGCAAGAATTCCAATGAATCCTAATTAGAAAATTCCCGAAAATGCGAAAGACTGGAGAATTTCCCCCCTCTATTTAGGTTACTTTATGAGTTAAAACATAAAAAAGGCCAAAACACGTGTCTTCTATTTTAGCACTACATTTAAAATTTAATGGGGTTTTCCTCATTGAAAATAGTTGACTTTGTCGCACAGTGTATTTAGAGTAAAGATTTCGACAAATTCAATTTAGAAAAACTATTTTCATATTTATCTTTCTTCTATTTTAGATCTACAGACATTTAGTCATTTCTTTGTGTGTTGCAAATAAAAGTGAAATAAATTTCGTTATCATAAAGTTATACAAATAAAAATAGAATAAAAGAAAACCAAATGTACAACAACAAAGACGTTATAAAATTCCTCACTTGACTTTATAATGGTGTCAACAATATGCGGAATATAAGCAATATACTGTGTTGTGATATCTCAATTTTCAAATGTATGACTCACATTTTGATATTGTCAAACCGAGCCATATGCGCTTCATTATAAATTTGAAGTCCAATGAAAAATAACAATTTAAATTGTTATCACTGTAAACATTTCTGGTATTGTTGTTGTTGCTGTTACTGTTAACCAAACTTCAACAATTTGCATATTAGTTCAATGGATCAATGACTGAATGGTGCGCACGATAACTCTCGAAGGACGTATCCGATTTAATCCAAACATGGTACATCGTAATATTATTGTCAAACTTAGATCGATTTCGGGATGAGCAATTTCGGTCCACTAATTCTAGTACCTCTCCCACAGAAAGTCAACATTTTCAAGGAAAATAATTTACTGCACAGAAAGAGAAAGTGATAATCCGATTTGGCTCCAACTTTGCGTACCCTAATATTTGCATCAGTGCTAGGTCAGGTGGGAAAATGGACAATATCGGTCCACTCCATCAAGTACCTCCCCCACAAAACAATTTTGAATAATTATAAATCCTATAAAATGTGTTGTAAGAGTCCGATTGTCTTCAAATTACACACATCACAATATTTTTATAAACCCAAGGTCTGGTACCTTCCCCCAAAGGGTCAACATTTTAAATATTCTTGAAGCTTATAAAACACGAAATTAACATCCATTTCCATTCAGACTTGGGACATCTCAATATTTCCATCAACACAAGATCTGTAATAACTATGGTAGAGATGGGACCATTCCTTGTGGTACCTCTCCCACAAATAGTCTAAATTTGAAGAACCAAATCGGTAATAAAATCCGAAGTAAGCATCCGGTTCTCTTCATATTTCACACATCCCATTATTTCTCCCAACACAAGATCTGCTGTAAATATGGGTTATATTGGTACCTTCCGGTAATTCCCCCAAAAAGAATCATAATTTTGAGTGTCCATGAAGCTAAAAAAAACTCGAAATTAACATCCGATACCATTCAGACTTGGGACATCTCCATATTTCCATCAGCACAAGATCTGTTATAACGATGGTAGAGATCGGACCATTCCTTGTGGTACCTCTCCCACAAATAGTCTAAATTTGAATAAACAAATCGGTAATAAAATCCGAAGTAAGCATCCGGTTCACTTCATATTTCACACATCCCATTATTTCTACCAACACAAAATCTGCTGTAAATATGGGTTATATTGGTAACTTCCGGTAATTCCCCCAAAAAGGATCATAATTTTGAGTGTCCATGAAGCTCATAAAGCACGAAATTAACATCCAATTCCATTCAGACTTGACACATCTCAATATTTCCATCAACACAAGATCTGTTATAACGATGGTAAAGATCGGACCATTTCTTCTGGTACCTCCCGCACAAAAGGGTCAAAGTTTCGAATCACCAAAGCGATCATAAAATCCGAAATAAGCCTCCGGTTCTCTTCAAAATAGAAACATGACAACATATTTTTTTAAAATCTGCTGTGAAATTGGGATATATCGGTCAACTCCTTCTGGTACCTCCCACAAAAAGGTTCAAAATGTTAAGTACCCATGAAGCTCAAAAACGCGAAATTAACATCCGATTCCATTCAGGATAAGAACATCTCAATATTTCCATCAATACAAGACATGTTATGAAGATGGTAGAGATCGGACCATTTCTTCTGCTACCTCCCCCACATAGGGTTCAAGACTTTTTTAAAACAAATCGCTCAAAGAAATCATTAAAAGGGTCCAACTCTATTCAAATTTCACACATACAAAGGGTCACAATTTCCAATACTTATATCTGTCGTAACTTGTGAAACATATCGGCGATTCTTTACAACTTGCTATATCTAAAATGTCTCTTAACAAGAAATCTGATATGAATATGTAGTTTTGGCCATGGTACAATAAGGAGGTAGAACAGCTTCGTAAAACTACAGAAATACAGCCCTGAGGCTATGCCCGCTTCCTGTCAGAATTATTCAAATTTATATCCAACAAGTTTTTTTTCATTTATTTGATATTTTTTGTTCATTTTTAAAATTAGTTAAATAGCACGAAAGATAAATGAAATGCCTGGATGTTCTCTCAAAAATATGATCCTAAGTGTTCAACCTTTCAATCCCGCGGCAAACCTGGTTAATAGCATTAATCTGCGCCTCGCAATTTAAATTTCTTCCAATCATTGATTTTGAAAATATTTTGTTTTTATTTTTCAAAACAATAAATACATACACAAAATTGCATTCAGCTGGTAGCTCTACCTTACTTTTTAATTGTACCATGGTTTTTGCATAAAATTGGATATAAATCTTCGATTTCCTTCAAAATTTGCACATACCAATATTTTTATGATGAAGTATGAAAATGGTATACTTCAGTTCCGCTGTATCTGATACCTTACTCTTACTTCCACATTTTCCAAAAATTTGCACATATTTCATATGTGTAAATAATATAGGAAGTAGTCGATATAGTCCAAATCTGTCACGTTTCAGTATTTATATCAGTCTTAGGTCAGATACGAATTGGCTAACTTCGGAACCTCCCCCATAAAGGGTCAATAGTTGGAATAATCATAACTCAAGGTGGGGGTATACATTTGTCGGCAAAACTGACTGATACTATTTTACTTGTTTAGCCAAATTTTGTATTCTGTCATACGAATATTATGTGGTTTGATATAATGAATTTGGTGCACAATGACAGCTATATCCAACTCAAAATCAATAATCACAAATTTCATCTCACATGAACAAAATTTTTTGGTAGACAAAACAATTGTAAATCAATTCCCCTCGTCAGCATAACCATATACTTTCGTTGCAGTACCTGCTTGTGTGTTATCGTGGGAGTCATCCTAACCATTATATGGTGGACAGAACTCTCCCACCCAGGCGTGTAAGGAAGGACCTACACTGTCTAGAGAGAGAGAGAGAGAGAGTTCCAACAGTACAAGCGAGAGAGTCTAGATCGATCAGGAAGCCTATCAAGCAGGTCTGAATAGCATTCATACTGAGGCAGTCGCTAATGTAGTTAACCAGTACAGTATGAATTCCATCCTCGGCTGCCTACGCAAACCAAGGAGTTTTGGATCTACTACGTTCAGGATGGTGCAGTCGTCTCAATTCGTATTGGACACGAATTGATGAAGATGTGTGGAACGTCTGCCCAGGGTGCGATGCAGGCCCGCGCAATACGCTGCATCTTTTCAACTGTTCTGCCAAACCTACCCAATGCAGTCTAAGAGATCTAAGGCTACAGCCCATAAAGATTAGTAGCCATTAAATAACACAGATTAGTAGCCATTAAATAACACAACATACACCACTGTTTAAACAACAACAACAGTATTTCCACTGTATTTGCTCGGATACTGGATACTTTCTACTTCTTTTTTTAGTAGTCAAGGTTCTAATGTTGAAGCAATGATCGGGACTTTATCGGAACTCAAGCAACAACTTCCATTAAATTTTCCTGGATAGAAATCGATTCGTCTCTATCTGATGAGTTCATCAAATATTAATTAGCCATTTGCGAAGAAAAATTATTTTTATTTTTAAACTATATAGAATCTATTGGTCATCTTTTATCAACTGTCTCGCATTGCAAAATGACATAGGAGACTTTGCAAATGCAAAAGTGAAGACTAATTAAATTTCAAATTAAGAGTTCACTTACCTTCCAAAATTGAGGGCTTATCAAGTGTTGGCGTTCCACCGCCTCCTCCTTTGTTTGGATGATCCATTCGTTTTGTTGAGGTTCGTGTTCTCTTCCACTTCTCCACTTTTCCGGGAACTGATTAGTACTTGAATATTTGAAAAACTTCTGGCACAAAATTCAAGCAAAATATATGTATTTAAAGGCGTTTACTTTGATTTCACAATTATCACTGCTTTGTTCACTTTTTCAATGGACTTTAATTGCCTTTTTGACTGCTGACCGAACGAACGAACAAATGAATGCCTGCACAGAAATGACAAAACACGTATAAAAAATAGGTTGAGAATGACGGTCTCCACCGATGCAAAACACAAAATACACTCAACGTTGTACCACGTAATTAAATAAGAAAAAAAACAACAATTTAGGTTATTTTTTTTAATTTGACAACTGCGATTGGACAATTTTGTGGCCTTAATTTAATATTATATTGCAACGCACTTTTTGTTGTATATTGGCTTTCTATTTTTCACTTTTGATGTAATGGATTTCCTAGATATTTTTCGATTTTCCGGACTTTTTTCCCGTCTAGTGGGAAGCTATACACGTACGTTGGACAAAATTCTCTAATCAACTGGTTTTTTATTTGTGGCAACTTGCAAAGACCAGAGAGACTAAGAAAGAGAGAGCGATAGAGAACAGACGAGCTCCACAAAACAAACAGGAAGATGTAATTTTTTTGTTTACTTCCTTTGTTTTTTTTTTTCAATTAAGTTTGTAGCTTTCTAGTTATAATTAATACCTAGGAGCTGTATTTATAAATTTATTTTAAATACATTTGTTTTGTTACTACAAAATTGCTTAATATACCTCCAATGTCGCACTCTCTCTCTGTTATTAAGAAATACTAAGTCATAACTGTCAAATGAATGTTTTTCTCAATGAGAATCAGCTGATTCAATGTTATTAGGAATGCACTGTGAAATGATAGCTCCATCGGTGTATCGTAATGCATGTACTGTACAAACAACTTCATAAAAATCCACTAGAGTAATTAAAATCGGGTATATGTTTCTCAAAATCATAGTAGCTCACAAATAATTTTGTTGAAAAATAGTAAACATAAATTTTTATTAGAATAAAAATTTTCATTTATACCCAAAATTTTAAAAAAGAAAGGCGATAAAATATTTTAAATGTCCGTTTAAATACGTTACTAATCAACTAATTGCATTCAGAGGGGTCGTGATTTGTAGTCAATCGCACGTGCAAATAACTAAAAAGAAGAAGTTCTAACGCTTAAAATGCGCGTATTTTCGGCTTAACGAATTGGATTCCATTTTAAAATTATGAATCCAACGCAAATTTCCGGTTCGTCGTGGCATCGCGAAAAGTTTTAGTGTCGTGTTTCCGGTTTCCAATTGGATTCGCGTTCGTCGTGTCTTCCCGAGTTATTTTCAGTGCCACAAAATATAATTGTGTTGTGTTTTCTCCTTATCTAAATGGCCTATCCGGATTGTGATCCTCGCGAATAATTTTCAGTGCCGTGAAAATATATTGTTCGCTGTCGGGTTTCGTAGTGTCATCGCGTCCTATCTTCAAAAAAGTTAAAACGAAATAAAAAATGTTAAAAAGAAATATTGTGATCGTGAATTCGTCAATTCTATTCTGTGCCATGAAAAAAATGCAATCTATTAAAAATATTGTCGCTTTCGTTTTTAAATAATAAGTGTGTTTTAATCGCGTAAAATATGTAATTCATAAATCTCAAGCTCTAGGCAACAGTGAAAATATAAACTAACCTTTCCCTTCCCTAAATCATTGGTCGAAACAGCGGGAATTACCCAAGTTGGTTTTGTTCTGAACTGTGGTTGATTGAATTTAAAATAGAGGTATGTAATTGAAATATCTGTCTTACAGCATTTATTATATCAGATATACATATGCAAACATTAATTTTTAAATCATAAAAGAAAATCATCGATATTGGTCGAAAGTGCTTGGAAAATCTATGCAAAAAGACTGTTGACCCTTCATGGAAGAGGTTCCGAAGGTGTGGTCCAATATTTTTCATTACAACATATCAGATTTGTATTTTATATCGAGAGTTATAATTATTTAAAATTTTGACCCGTTTTGGGGGAGCAACCAGAGGGAGTAGTCCGATATTGTCCATCTTCACAACACATCTTGTGTTGATAGAAGCATTGGGATGTCTCGAGTTTGAAAGGAATCGGGTACTCATTTCGCGTTTTATGTGCTTAATAGTTATTCGAAAGTGTGGCCCTTTGTGGGGGAGGTACTAGAAGGAGTGGTACGTTTAATTCGTTCTTCATAAAGTAGAAGTAGAAGGAATTTCAAAGAAGAAAAAGAATTTCGCGCTTTTCGAGCTTCATGGGTATTCAAAATTTTGACCCCCTTTCTGAGTGAGGTACCAGACCTTGGGTTAATAAAAATATTGGGATGTGTGTAATTTGAATCCGATACTTATATCACATTATACACAGATACTTATATCACATTTTCTAAGATTTATAATTATTCAAAATTTTGAACCTTTGGGAGGAGGTACTTGATGGAGTGGATCGAAAATGTCCACTTCCGCACCTGACTTAACACTCATGCAAATATTTGGATTTGCAAAGTTAAAGCAAAATCGGTTTGTCTTTTCTCTTTCTTTATGATATTTTTTATACTCTCAGTCATATGGTTAGAGAGGGTATTACGGCTTTAGACCCTACGTCTCTTTGGACCAAATCCGTTCAGGACATTTGGAGTCGATCTAGCGATGTCCGTCCGTCCGTCTGTCTGGCTGGTGCGCACGATAACTCTCGAAGGGAGTACCCGATTTGGTACATCATAATATTTTTTCAAACTTTGATCGAGTTGGAAGATGGATAATATTGGTCTACTCCTTCTGCTACCTGCCCCACAAAAGGTCGAAATTTTGTATATCCATAAGCTCATAAAACACGAAATTAACATCCGATTCCATCTGGACAATCAACACAATATCTGTTATTAAGGTGGGATATATCGGACCATTCCTTCTTGCACCTCCCCACAAAGGGTCAAATTTTTAAATAACCAAAACGTTAATAAAATCCGAAATAAGCATCAGGTTCTCTTTATATTTCACACATCCCATTATTTCTACTAACTCAAGATCTGTTGTAAAGATGGTATATATCGGTCCACTCTTTCAGGTACCTCCCACACATAGGTTCAAAATTTTGAATAACCGTGAAGTTTATAGAACGCGAAATTAACATCCGATTCCATTCCAGACTCGGTACACCTCAATATTTCCATCAACACAATATCTGTTATAAAAACTGGAGGGATCGGTTCCTTCCTTCTGGTACCTCCCTTTAAAGTGAAAATGACATATATTGGGTCACGCCTTCCTACAAAGGGTGAAAATTGTGAATATCCATGAAGATCATAAAACGCAAAATTAACATAAGGTTCCATTCTAGACTTTGTACATCTCAATATTTCCACTAACACAAGATCTGTTATAAAGATGGTAGAGATCGGACCATTTCTTCTGGTCCCTCCCACACAAAGGGTTATAATTTTGAATAACCAAAACGATCATAAAATCCGAAATAAGCAATGCGAGTCATTAGTGTTACTAACACAAGATCAGCTGGGAAATGGGATATATCGGCGGACTTCTTCTGGTATTTCCCCTGTGAGGGGCTTAAAATTTTCAAAAACAAAACGCAAAATAAGCATTCAACTCTCTTCAAATTTCACACATACCAACATTTTTGCAAACGCAAAATCTGTTGTAAAGATGATAGCTATCTGCCAAACCTTTCCGGTACTATTATATTTATCGGAATTTATAAATTCGTATAAAATTGGATAAAAATTGTCGATTTTCTTTAAATTTTGCACATTCCGTACACATATTTCCACGTTTTTCAAACATTTGCACATATCTCATATAAAGTATAGGAAGTATACGATATAGTCCAAAAATGGCACGACGTAATGTTTATATCAGACTTATGTCAGATACGATTTGGATAATATTGTCCAACCGCTTCGAAAACTCCCCCTTTCCCCAAATGTTGATATTTTCAGTTTCTATTGTCAAGAAAGCTAATATAGGTCCTCGTTTTAGTACAATCCTTATATAAAGATTCCCCTGTTTTTAGTTATTGCCAAGCGATTCGACTTTAATTTGTTCGGAGGATGTAGCTTTTTTTCTTCTACTGTAAGTAATCCTGATATACAAATGCCCAAGAATTTGAAAGAATTACCCCCTTTTAACTATAATGTAAGTTTACAAAACGTCGCAGATTCGCCTTCCTCCTATATTTAGCTCTGCTTTAATTATCTACTAACTTTTATCTGTAATTATTAAAAAAACTAGAATTTTTTCACACAGTCTAATTATCTAATGTATTTTAATTTTCTCAAGTTTAAAAAAAAGATACGGAAAAATGAAGAAAATCCTTAATTGTAAACTACTTTATATACTTCTCCATGAATTTCTTGTGAAACTCACTACGCAGAGAATCGTTGATAAAATGTGTCTTCTTTTCGGGTTCTGTGCGGGCACAATTCTTAAATACTACATCATCATCCCAACGGCGTTTAACTTTCAAATCTGCCACAGCCTTACTGGCTGTTGCTCCCGAACCCGCAGCATAATTTATTAATGGATTTCCCGATAGAATATTTTCCATGCGAATACGTTCCTCCTCCTGCTTCTTTTCTTGTTCTTTGCGAGCGGCCTCCTGTAATCGTTCTTGTTTGATTTTATTCAACTCGGCTAACAGCACTGCGGTGTCATCTTCATCATCTGAGTCCGAATCCGAGTCGGAACTGTCATTATCCACCGGATCATCGGCATCGAGATTTGTTGGGGCTGGTGGTGCATCTAGCTTTGCGCGTTTGCTGCTCGGTGTACTGCTGGCAGAATTGTTGGCCTCGATGGCCTTTCGCACAATCGATGGAAGATTTTTGCTTGGCCGTGCTTCACGTTCTTCAAGTTCCTTGCGGAAATCACGATTGCGCAGTTCATCAGAGGTACCTTGGCCAGATTCTCTGAAAAGACAAATAAAATAAAATTTTAGTATGGGATGCGCAATTTATGTTAGACGCTAACCTGTATTTCAATTTGGTATGTCCAGGCAAATCTCTGCTGCTGTACTGTTTGCTCAGGGCACTTAGATCTTTTTCCCCCTTACCACTGCCGCCACGGGCTGGATCAAATGTTGGCCTGGCAGCTGTTGTCATTTTCTAGCTACGTTTTTATTTATTTTAGAGTTAAAATTAATATCTTTGTAATTTTCAGTAATTTTCTGGGCAAAAACGTTTCCCTTAATGCTTGTTCTTCTTGTTGTTTGACTCAATGTCTGAACGAAGCGAAATGGCTGATGAAAATAAAAACAGAATTTGCAAGGGTTCTAGAAGACCGAAAATGTCGGTCTTAAGGGCTCTAGAAGGTCAAAAACTCTCATAATTCGTTGCCTGCTCTTCTTTGTCTGACAAATAATTCAAAGTAACTGTTCACTATTACGAACTAAGTGAACTACGAAGCCACTTGTTCATCTATGTAGTTTAGTAAGATTTATGCCAGACGAAGACAATTTCATTTATGTCGATATTGACAAGTGAGCAACTGCTATTATTCATTGGGAAGCGTTCAGAAAAATAATTTAGTAACAGGGTGATTCAAGTGTGTTATGTTTTGGCACATGGTACAGAATGACCTGTGAAATAAAGACAAATGGCACATATTATACATTTAAATGATTGTTTTTTAAAGTAAATGTTCAATTGAGTTGAAATTTTAATGAAAACACTTTGTATTAGTTCTTTGAGGTATTTTTTATTTTCTGAAAAAAATAATATATAAATATCAAGATTATCGTATTAAGGGACAGTCTTTCCCAAAACGTAGATTTGTGAGAATATTTTCTGAATCGTCTAACAATCTTCCGACCGTAGTTTTATACGAATGTGTTTCCGAATTCTTAGAGTTTGTAACACCTCGAAATATACATTTTAGACCCCACAAAGTATATATATTCTTGATCAGTATTAAATTCTATTCGTATGTCCGTCTGTGGAAATCACTCTAGCTTTTACTCAAATGTATATTATGTCTGCTGGACTTTTGGTATTGAAAATGGGCCATGTAGGTCCACTTTTTGGTATAGCATGGGGGCCTCCCGATATTCGGTATTTTTGTGATTTAAGCTATATTATTCACCGTAAATGTTTCAAATTTGGTATTTCGTGATGAATACTACAGCCTAGAACTGAAAATTGTTTGTGCAGGTCCACGTCTTCGTATAGCCCCCATATAACGGCATGTCCCGATATTCGGTATTTTGATGATTTTATCGACATTATTCACCAGAAATGTTTTAGATTTGGTATTTGAAGTTCGTAATGGAAACTACAACCTATGACAAAAAATTGTCTGTACCGGTATCGGTTATCGGTACCTCCCGATATTCGGTATTTTGATAATTTTAGCGACATTATTCACCGGAATTGTTTCAAATTTGGTATTTGAAGTTCGTGATGGATACTATAGCCTAAGACAGAAAATGGTCCGCGCAGGTTCACGCCTTCGTATAGCTCTCATATAACTATTCCACCCGATATTCGGTATTTTGATGATTTTGAAGACATTATTCAAGTTTATTGTTCATTCAAGTTTCGCATTTGAATATTGTAATGGCTTATGACAAAAGTGGCCTATGCAGGTCCACGTCGTCGTATAGACCCTAACATAACGGCTACATTCGGTATTTTTAAGATATTAACAGAATTTTTAACGGATTTTATTTTATTTGTTGAAAATTGCCAAATTCGTTCCAAATTTTGAAGGAGTATTCAAAGTTCGCCCGGCTGAACTTACAGCTTTTTTACTTGTTTTTGTTTTGCTTTGCCTTCCAACGTAATTTCCAGTTAGTTGTGATCGGTGTATAACTCTGCACCAGACCTTTATGAACATGTCTTACAGAAATGATTGAATTCTTTCACCCATTATGAGATTTATGCGCCATCCTCTCGCTTCGCTTACTTTTTTTCGCTTTGATGATCCCTTGGCATGGCTCGTTTTAGGTGGTCGTGTGTGTGTATTTTTTTGTTGTTCTTTGCGCAGGCGTATCAATTTTTTAAGCAAAGTGTGAAACCACAGAAAAACATCAGTAGCAACGCCAAAAATTTCATGATCTGAACCCTTGGCAGTCAACAATCAAACAGCGGCAGACAAAGATCAAGAAAATCATAAATTATCAAGTTTAGATGGACGGCAATGTTGCAACGTTGTTCTGCAATTGACTGTTGTTGGATAGACGGACGGATGATGTGTTTTAACTGGATTTTTCCCCGGCCTTTTCGTTTTTTTATGGCATAAAGACTATTTTTCGCTTGTCTGCTTCATTTGTTTTGCACAAATTACTGTTGTTGTTGTTCTTTATCCGTCCATAATTGATTTCTTAAGGTATTTTAACTGGCTGCCTAGTGAATATTAACAACAACAACAATAAAATCAATTTTCTTTCCATCTGAAATGGATCAATTTTATGCTGCAAATTTAAATAGAATTGAATAACGTGTAGCAGTGGTGTCGCTTGCGTTCGTGGGGAAGGGGGCGATTAAACTGTTATGTAAATCGAAATTATTCCCCTCGAGTTCGTTTAGATTATAAAGACTCTATCAGACGATACGTTTTTTGCACACATATGTAGTTTCAAATTTTCCATATGTAAACGTTGCACACATCGTGTGATACATGGACTTCAGTTCAGGTGTGTATGCATGAGCAAAGTACATATCATATCATTCATACGATATGTTGTAAAATATCTTTTCAAAAATAAGTAGATTTTTATGTTTCTAAAACGACGCCAACCAGAGCTTCTTATGATATACATTTTTCAACAATCCTAACGGATTTAAATAATTGTTCTTTCAAAATTTTCAATTTCAAAATTGTTTGACAGTTCATTGTCCTAGCTGCTGTGTCGATGCGATTACCTGTATTCTTCTACCATGGTATATACAAGGTGAGATAAAAAAATTGCAATAAAGTCAAACGCCATAATTTTTACATTTTTTTTCAATTTTATTGAATGAAAGCAAAAAAAAATGTCGGAAATAGCATTATATTTTAGAATAATTTTAGATTTGTTCGAATTGGTCACCTTTGGCACGAATTATGGCCAATCAAACCGTCACACGCTTCCCGAATGCTGCTCTGCGGTATTTTGGCTCATTCCTGTCGTAGCTCTTGCTGGAAGTGATCGACACCTTGGTTTTTTTACTGCCAACCTTGCTTTCCAAAGTACTCCAGACACAATAGTCCAACGGATTGGTATCCGAAGGTTTTGGTGGCCATTGTACGCTGAAGATGAAGGGAGGAACCTCATTTCGTAACCATTCTTGGGCGGCGCGTGCTGAGTGCGATGTTGCTGAGTCCTGTTGGAATGTCTAAGGCTTTAATACACCCTCCAGAATATTTTCGCGATAATATTCGGCATTTATTTTGATGCCACGTTCGATTAATACGAGCGGAGAGCGACCATCGGTTGTTATGGCGGCCCACACCATCACCATGGCCGGCGCTTGAGTTCTGGTGGCCAACCGAAGGTGCACATTTTCAGCTGACCTCTGTGGCAAGTAAAGACGATCATTTTGTTTATTTACAAACTGCTGGACAACGAATGTTTTCTCATCGGAGCGGAGAAAACCAAATTCGGCAGTTCACCACTTTCGGCCAAGCGAAGCAACTCTTTAGCTCTTTAGAGTCTATATTCTTACTGTTGCTATGTAAGTTCTTGTACTTTTTGAAATTTCAATGGCTTTACCCCGAGCTAGTTTTTCAATATTTTCCGAATCGAATACTGCGATATGTTCAGCTCACGAGCCATTTTTCGGCCATTGCGATGCGGGTTTCGATCAACCATTTCTGCTAGTGTTGCTGTTCTCTTCCGTCTACGTCCACTTCCTTGAAGTCGGGCTACGCTTCCACTATCACGGAACCGAGCATTGGTACGAGACACAAAGGATTTATTCACATTTAAAAGCTGGAGTGCTCTAACTTTAGCCAGTTGTGGTTTCTCAGCCAAATATATGGAAATCACACTATCACGTTTGAATTCCATCACGAATAACTTTTTTCTGGAAAATTCTCACCAGAATGCTTTTGTACGCTTGTAAACAATACAATAAGCTGTCACTGGAATAATTTTAACAGCTGTCGGACGAGTGGCTTGGAAATGACAGCAGTCTGAAGTTGGTTGCAGTTTTTTTCATATCGGTTTCAGTGTTGCAAAACACTTCAGATGATCCTGCCACCGCTGTTTCTGCTGCGAAATTTTTCTCTAATTTCGGGTATTTGACCAGCAGGCAAATAGTGATGATGTCCCAGAAGATAATTTCTACTACCTCAAAATTACAAGGATTGGGAAGGTTGTTGACCTTTCTCAATTCTGGCCAGTGAGTGTTCAGTAGTATTTCCAAATGTCAAAGTTCCCTGGTACGTTCCTTGAGACTTCTCCATCTTACTGGGTGTTCGTCCGTCCACAAGGGATATAAGCGTTTGCCAGTTCAATTAAAGTCTGTTAGTTCACTATGAGTTCCAAAGCTCACTGGAAGACTGCAATTCCAAAGAGAGTTCCGCAGATCCCTGGTAGGTGATTCACCAGTGGGGGTTTGTCATTTCATCAAGGCAACATCGGCTCACTTTGAGCTCAAAAGCTCACTAAAAGTCCACCAGCTCCTCTGAATTTCCAAAGGTTCTCCTTTTTTCAAGTGATTTATTTTGCGATGTGAAATATTATCTACCACGTTTCTGACTTCCTCAAATACCTGTCAATGCAAAACGTGCAATCGTATGCTTCGGGATCACCATTGACTCTTCATTCACACAAAAGTCACGGAGTTTCTGAACCAAAAGTGCAGCAGTTCATTGTCATTGACATAATCTCCGACAACGTTGTTGTTGTTGTTTTTATACCCTCCGCCATAGTAGGGAGGGTATATTAAGTTTGTCATTCCGTTTGTAAAACCTCGAAATATACATTTTAGACGCCAACAACGTATATATAATCTTGATCCGCATAAAATTTGATTCGATTTAGCGATGTCGGTCCGTCTGTGGAAATTACTCCAGCTACCGAACGAAATAAAGTAGGTTGATACAATTTTACTCAAATGTATATTACGTCTGCAGAACTTTTGATATTGAAAATGGACTATGTAGGTCCACGTTTTGGAATAGCCTCCATGTAATGGTACCTCCCCATATTCGGTATTTTGATGATTTAAGTGACATTATTCAACGGAAATGTTTTAAATTTGGTATTTGAAGTTCGTAATGGATACTACAGCCGATGACAGAAAATTGTGTGTGCAGGTCCACGCCT